TGTGTGTGTGTGTGTGTGTGTGTCTGCAGCCCGTTTTATATAATTAAATGATTTGATGAGAGACATGAACACTTGAACAAACATCAGCATGATAAGAAAAACCTAAAATGACAGAAACCAAATAATTGATTTAACATCCACTAACATGGAGGAGGCCGGTGTTATAACCTATACTGCAGCCAGCCACCAGGGGGCGATCAAGATGATTTGGCTTCACTTTTGAGGAGCCATCATGTCGTCCATCTTAAACAGTCCATGTTGTGTACCTGTGTGTCGTCCTCGGTCTCCAGGTCTCTCCAGAGAACCCGCCCGGCCCGACCGAGCTCGCCCTCCAGAGGAAGCAGCACCCTGCCCACCGGGTGGCGTTTCCCGTTCTGCTCCACGCTCAGCACACACACACTCAGGACGCTCTGAGGAACACACACTCCCGACACCTGAGGATGAAACAAACAAATCAATGACGAATTTACCAAACAACAAAATCATACGAACATATTTTCTAAACAGACCTGGAAGATGAGGCAGTCGTTGAACTCCGGGTCGGGCCCCGTGCCTCGGGCCTTGGCCTGGCGGGGCCGCCGGTCGTCAGGGAGAAGCCGAAGCTCCACCAGCGTGATATTGCCGTGGAAACGAGGCGGGAGGTTTCCCAGACGGAACAACGTGACCATGAGCTGCTCGCCGCTGTGTCGGTACTCCACAGAGAAGCAGAGGCGGGTGGCCATGCCGGGCGGAGGAGCCACCACCTCCTTTAGAGGAGGAACCGAGTAGAGACCAGTGAGAACCGTCCCCACCGGATACCAACCTGAGAAATATGATGAATGAACACAAGTCTGCGAGGAGGATTTGTTCAATGTGATTGATTTTAGGATTTTAGTTTTGACTTGACTTAAAATGACATTTTTTCAAAGGGTCACCTCTCCACTTTGTTCCAGACTCTATCACAACAAATATTATCATAATGACTTTTATTTATTGCATTAAAATTAAAAGAAGTCTCCGACCATTTGAATATAAATTAGAATAAAAAGACAATAACGACTCACTCCTCACTGACAGTGACCCTCGATGGGCTAATATGTCGCGCTGCGTCTCCATCTTCATCTCCACCTCCTCTTTCTCCTCCGTCTCCACTTCACCGCGAGTTTGTGTCGTGAAACGAGGAGGCAAAGTGAACGGGATCTCACCCGGCCTGAGAAAAAAGTTAATTTACTCAATAACTATAAGTACTATGTCACTTGAGTATTTGCATTTTCTTTATGTACTTTTTTTTAACCTCCACTTTTAATGTTGTGTTAATAGCATCAGTGTTACTGACGTGGTCCAGGAGCCCTGAGAGACCCGGATGACGGGAGCAGAGCATGCTGGGACTGGAGGAACGGTGGACGGCAGCTCCTGGTAAAGACTCTGGTCCTTCTTCTTCCTCCACAGGTAGAACCACAGCAGACCCAGCAGCAGCAGCGTCAGCAGGCCGAGAGACAGACCAACAGACAACAGTAACACCCGGTCTGAAGAAACACAGACACATCAACGAGCAGGATGAGACACAGATGTTGAGTCTGATGAAGTTCAGTGTTTACCTGCCATGGAGGAGTATTTCTTATTAAGTCAGCTGGAGGGAGCTCTCTTCATCTGGCAGCCCGAGGATACCTTCCACCATTAGTCATGAAAGTGAGTCTGTTATAGTGGGTCTGTGTGTAACTGTGTGCAGAGTTTGGTTTCGTGAGGAGAGCCGTGCGAGTACGACACATCTGGATGATTCCCACCGTGTCAGGCTGTTATCTGGTTGTTGGTTTGGAGAACTCGCTCATAAGGACCAAAGACTCTCACTGGTTTATGATGTTTTGAACTTATTAGTTTATTTATGAGGGGCCACGCGTAACACTATTATATTTAACCTTCATCTTCATTTGTATTTAAAGGTTTAATTAATGACTTTAGTTCTTAATGTGCATATGGTTTATAAATCCCCTGAATAATTACCAGGTATTCATTTACACACAGAAAGCCCAGGACCAGGTGAACTGGTTTCTGGACTCTCTGTGTGTGTATAGATGGTATTTACCACATTGTGTGTACTACAGTGAACTTACATAATACACATTCCACAGAGCGTGGGAGAGACGGCCGAAACTCACAGTATAGTTTTTCCTGAGGGGCCTAAAGCAGGATAATCTGACTGTGGCAGAAAAAAAAATCAAGATTAGAGAGAAGTCCACAGAATAATAAACCGTGTTAATCATCTCTCGTTCCCTCAGATGTGTCTTCTGACTCTCGGGGGGGGGTCTCGCCCCCTCAGGTTGGGAATCGGTGTCTTAATCCATCACGGTGAACATCTCAGTCTGCATTCATTCTCCTGAGAGTAATGCAATGCACGTGTTTTTTAATTAACCTGCACTCGTCGCTGCAGAATTACTGACTAAAGCACAAAATGTCATATGGACATTCTCGGTCCCCAGACGATGAACCTTTCTCATTTATACGATCAGTAAACTTTAATTTGTCCAACTTTATGATCAAATTCTCTTCAGCCTCTTTTTTAAAGTTAAATATTATCCCTCCAGTGAGCGTGTGCATATCCACATACATGTAAAATGACTCCTCACTGTGGTTTCACTGACACACATGCACACACACACTCACTCTGCTTAGAGATTGGACGGCAGCTAACGAGATCACGGTTAATCCTCGGAGCTAAAAGCCAAGTAATGGCCTCCCTCTCTCACGCACACACCTGCACATGCACACACGTTTCTCTGACAAAGAGGAAATCTTCATATTCACGCCAACTTTAACGTGAGGCCCGGGTCTGTGGGAGCGGACGGAGCGGGAGGCCCGAGCTGAGGTGGCCCGAGCTGAGGAGACGTCTCTGCGGTCAAATTGGGAGCTGAATGTGTTTGATGAGGGTGGACGGACACAGGACAGGTGATCTTCTTAAGGAGCGAGGGAGGAAGAGAGCGAGGAATGACGGGAGGAAGGAGTGACGCCATTTAGCACCACCCGCTCTGCTGCAGGGCAGAGGGCAAAACAGGCCACGAGACGTGAACTTCAAGGTAAGAGGTTACCGTTCTCTTTTATCCGACAACTTGTTTGTCATGTAACAGTCACATTTAGGACTCGACTGTGTTTCTATCGTTCAGAACAGGCAGTTTATTTGAGTATTCTGGGCATCTCTAGAAATGGACGACGTCAGTTTGGGACAGAGGTGGATTAGAAAGTTTGGCCATTAGATTTAACTTGAATTTGGATTCATGTGTGATTTTATGCCAGATTTATAATGGGGACAAACTGCAGAACTGTGTTTTAACTGAGTTTTAAAAAGACGAATACACAGAAGAGCTAAATCAGGCACAACGCCGACACACTCTCTTTTAGAAGACAAGACAAAAACAAGTAAAGTGTAATTTTTAATATGTGGCTCTGTCCATTCTTGCCATCGTCCTTTGTCTATTTTATTCACTTTATTCGACCAAAATCCTGAAATGCTCTTTTAAATCCGTCTCAATCAATCTACATTTTGTCTCAATAATCAAATTATCTGGATTGTGTAATCTCATTAGGCTAATCTGGGAGTGCCTCTGAATGCGTGGGTGTGTGCGTGTCCATGCACGCACTGAGTGGAACGTGTGCTCCAGAATAAAAAAGATTTTAGTTTGGGAACTACGCTTCACTTTCTTGTAAAGATTTAGATGAGAAGATTGATATGACTAGAATATCTGTTTACTTTAGTAGATGCAGGAAAACAGTAACATTTAAACGTATATATGTTTAATATGTAAAAATATTTCTGAATACTCTGCTGGTTGCCAGGCAACATCAAAGTTAAAACAGATGCTAGGCTAGCTGTTTCCAGTCTTCATGCTAAGCCACGATAACTGCCTGTGGTCGTGTTTTTAAATTTTGAAGCAACATATACGAGTCTGGTGTCAATCTTCTCGTCTCACTCTCGCCATAAGTGTGTACTCAAAAATGTCCAATTATTGTGTTGTACGTGGTGAAAGAAGGATCAATTGACTAAAGGTTATGTCTGTCCTCGCAGGTCGCTGCTGCCATGGCGAGGCCTGGGCGTCCTGTGTCTGAGAACTACCAGCCCATCTGTTGTTCAGTCAGTCAGTCCGGGTCTTACTCCAGTGAGACAGGGATCATGGGACTGGAGGACGACAACGAACTCGCGCCCATTTTCTCCATCTCTAAGAGCTCCATGGACGTAGTCATGTCGGCGGGCCCATCGCACAAACGGGACCCTACCTGGACCAGGATGCACCTGAGACGCAGCTCCAGTGCCAACATTCATTCCGAGCACAGCGCAGTGATGCTCCAGCAGCTGCAGCCACACATGTGGCAGCACATCAACAGCCACCAGTTGGCGCTCAGCACCCAAAATGTGAGCGTGCACAGCCCGTCCTTGCTCAGCGAGCGCAGGATTGGCAGCATGCAGCGCTGGAGCGGGTGCAGCGGCAGCACACACAGCCGCAGCAGCACCCCAGAGACAATAGTGTGGAGAGGAGGGACCTCACGCCCCTCGAGTCTAACCCAGGAAGTGTATTACGCCGCAACACCAGACTCTCTGTCCAAACTATCCTCCGCGCCAACAACACCGTCCCCGTTCACCTCCCCTCTCGACACGCCGACCTTATCACCTATAGGTCTTTTTAACTCTGCTTCGACTGTAACACTCAATGCGAATCAGCAAGAGGACGCGCTCGTATCCCCACCTGCATCCTCATCCCCATCGCCCCCCCCACAGGCTCACAACTCCTCACCCTTGCCATCCAACTCCCCCAACCTCCTGCTCTCTGACACAAAGGATGAGAGCTTGCTGGAGGATAATTTGCTCTCTTTTCAACTACCCTCCCCGAAACCCTCCTCCGTTAGTTTAGCAGAAGGAAACGCAGATGGTGAGTGCCTTGGCGATGACATAGTAAAAGAGCTGCAGAGTCCTGGAGGCCCACAGTTATCAGAGGGTGGAGGAGAAGCTGAGAAAATGTTCAACTACCTGTCGCCTCCAGGAGAGGAGCCAGAGTCAGGAAGTGGACAAGCGTCAGTCTGCCAACTTGAGCTGTCGCGTCAGCTCTGGGAAACGTGTCCAACACGAGGAGGGTGGAAGTCACCCCTGGTTTCTTCCTTGAGTGACTCAGGGTTGGGCGACTGCTGCAAGTGCAACTTCATCTCAAGAGTGGGCGTCACTAAGGGTCCGAGGGTGGAGGCGTTTAGGGAAGAAGGTACAATGACTTCACCGGCGCAGCTGGTGGACGCAGAGGTGCAGACGATCACTCCCATGGGCTCCTTGTGGAACCTCAAGAGAAACACGTTCACCTCCAACATGGGCTCACACTCCCTCTTGGGCTCTCCTCCGGGATCAAGGCTGAACTTGAAGTCCTCCATGGGGTCAAACTCCAACCTGGTGTCCCCGTCCTCCAGCATGTTCCCGATCAGCAGTGAGGACGACGAGGAGGAGAGACAGGGGGACGACCCCAGGTGGGACATTACCTCTGCTTCCTCCCACGATATGGAGAGAAGGAGGTCCTGTCTGAAGATCCAGGGGGAGGAGAGGGATGAGCTGGGCAGGAGGAGCAGCATGAAGCAGGTGCAGTGGGACGAGGACGGGATGACGTGGGACGTTCATGGAGCATCTGTTGACCCAGAGGTGCTGAGCACGGCCATACAGAAACATCTGGAGCTACAGAACAGCCCACTACCACAGAGGCGTTCCTCCAAGAAGAGGAAAGCTCCGAAGCCTCCCCTCATATCGAGTGTCTTAAAGGCCATGGCCCCAGACCTGAATCCCAATGTAATTATGAGCACAACTCGTACAGTGGAGGGGGAGAGTGAGGAGACGCTGGAGGAGGAGGAGGAGGAGAGGAAGACAGGAGGAGCCAAAAAGGAGGAAGCAGCAGAAGTTCCTCGCAGGATCAGCAGAGCAGAGGGAGAATACATGAGAGACGAAGAGGAGGAGGTGTACGGAGAGGTCGGCCTGGCCCAGCGCAAGTCGCCATCGGTTGTGAGCACTCTCAGCCACAAGAGGAGTGTGATCAGGTCACTGAGGAGGCCCGGGTGGTGCGGAGGAGGCTCCAGAAAGACAGACAACTGATCCAGGAGACGACCCTAACTCTATTGATTATCTATAGATGATCGACCCTCAGTTTGCACAATCAACAAACTAAATGAAACAGTTCTTACTCTCCTGTTGTCGTCTCGACTTTATTTACATTTGCAAAATGTAGAAATGCAATGTTAGAAGATGTTTCCCTTCACTCGCCAGGTTCCACTGTTTAGATGCATTTCTAGTGACGATTGCTCTCAAATCAGTTAAGAAGAAAAACTATCAATTTGTCTGTTGACGTAAATGTTCAATAAAACCTGATGTTTTTTCTTTGCATTTCTGTTCTTCTGAAAGTTCTGAAAACAGGAAAAGACTCAAATGCAGTGGCATGAAGTGAAGAAGCACAGCTGACGATAAACAGGTTTATTAGTTTAAGTACCGACAATAAACTATATGAGTACATTAAGAAGTACATTAAAGCATTAAAACCAATATGATCAATATGAGCAGAATATCTAAAATATCTCTTTAATGGGTTCTGCCCCAACCCTTCACCACATTTCAACACACAAATAAACAAACACACAAATAAACAGACACACAGAGTTGAGTTGTACGTAAACTTGGTGAACCACGGTGGTGAGATGTGACCATTCAGGCGCCGCCATTCAGATGAGCGGGCACATTCTCTCTCATAAAGCTCCTGTCACCAGCGGCTTCCATTGCAGTTACTGTTGTCATATTCTCAGTGTGTGTGCATGAGTTTGCATGTGTTTTATTATTTTATTACTCTTTCACTGTTTTGTTTTCAGATGTCCAGATGTTTTCATTAAGATCCATTCATCATTAGTGAAAATGTCAAAAACATGTCTTCACCAACATCAGGTTCCGTCCTTACACCGAGTTTTGTAGTAGTCGAAGTAGTTTTTGTGTAATCCTGCTGACAAACACACAAATAAACAAACATAACCTCCGAACAGTTTCACACAGTAAATGGGATAGAACACCAATTATATTATAAAGTTCAGTAAACTATGATTTTTGTGTGTTATATAATACGTTAGCGTGTCTAACACCCACATAACTGAACTCGTGTCACTCTGGTCACATCATCTCTGTTTACACAGTTTACTGGATGGAGGGAGGAGATGTGCGATATCAAAGGTCATGTTCAGGTCACTGTGTCACTGCTGTGACACATGTGACATGATGTGGTGTTTGTTTGTGTGTTTCCTTTGTCCTGTGAGCATGTTAGTGTCGTGTGAGCATGTAAACGTGTGTGTGAAAGTGCTGATGGGACCCCCAGCCCCTGAAATCCCCTTTTCTCTGAGCCGGGGTGAAAACTCGCAGCTGCAGGAGAAAAATCCAGCGTTCGGCCTTTGTTGTGACAGCGCTCATTGTTCCTGGAGGTGTGTGTGTGTGTATGTGCACCTGTGTATAAATAGCATGGGATGTGTGCCGGTCGGTGATTCTGTGGAAGACGATGGCCGTGCCAGGACCTCCTCCGCTCCTCTTTCTGTCTCTGCTGCTGCCGCTGCTGTTGAACAAGGCATGCCTGCCTGCAGCTGCATACACGCTCACCCCCGGACGACAGCCACAGCACAAAGTCCTCCACCTGGGTGAGGGCAAACACACACGGATACACACTCCAGCAAAAACACACTTTACTTTTTTGTAATTTGAATGTCTCTCCTCTCAGACTGGCCTAAGGATTGCGGGACGGCTCATTTCAAACCCAACATGGTTGAACGGATTGTGTCCGGGAACGAGGCCAGGCCTCACTCCTGGCCCTGGCAGGTCTCTCTGCAGGTAAACCTGTCTGTGGGTCAATGTTTCAAGAGCCTGGAGAAGGGGTTCAAATCAAGGAGGCCATAAAAAATATCACGTGCACCTCCCTCTTGTGCACCTGCACCTGTACAAGAGGTTTGCACATTTGCTATATGTCAAAATTCTTCCTGGGGCTGTTTCATTTTATCTGTTGAGTGTGTAAGTGGTGAGGGTGTAGTAGATAACGAAGGGTGATGTTGAGTTACCAGTTGTATCTGATCAAAACAAATATTTTCAATTCAATTAATTGAAGTTATGAGTAATTATTAAATACATTATCAAAAATACTGAGTTTTTAATACAGATACCAAAATAAAACAGTCAACAACCTGACAATGACATGTAAACTATAAATATATTATAACTTCATAAATATATATATATACAGTTGGCAGTGTTTATAAATATAATTAATAAAATAATTGATATTTTACAGTTTAATCATATACTGATTATAAATGAAAAGTAGGAAATCATAACCAAACATATAGAATCGTTCTCATGTAATGTGTGTTTGATATTTAGGGAAAGAGAAGAATGCAAACGATGAATGATCATGTGCTGTTTGTGGTCATGTTGTCTCTCATAGGTTCGTCCCAGAGGAAGTAAACATTACATTCATGTTTGTGGAGGAACTCTCATCCACAAGAACTGGGTCCTCACTGCTGCTCACTGCTTCCAGAAGTAAGACACAAATAAAAATGAATGTTAAGTAGTTGAGATAAAGTTTGATGAAACGATACTGTGCTGATTCTCTCAAGGGGTAAAGCTGAGGATGCTGGGAGCTGGAGGATCGTCCTGGGGAAGCACCAGCTCAAGCGTTCGGAGACAGCAGAGAGGATCTTCCCGGTGAAGAGAATCTACCGCCACGAGAACTTCCGTTATCCGGCTCACAGCGAGCTGGACTACGACATCGCCCTGGTGAAGGCTGCCAAAGACATCCTCCCTTCAAACTTCATCCGCTACGCCTGCCTGCCGCGCAAGCAGACCAGCCTCAACCCGGGACACTACTGCTGGGTGACGGGCTGGGGAGACACCCGGGGTGAGTGGAGGGGGGTGGGAAAAAAAGAAAAAGAGGAAGACAAGTGGAAGTCAAAGTCAAAATGTGGCTTTAAGTGGGTAAATATTCTCCTTTGAACACATTTCAGGCGGGAAGGAGAACGTGTCTCTGGCAGAAGCCTTGAATCAAGCTCGCCTCCCCATCATTGACTTCAAGACCTGTCGGCAAAAGAAATTCTGGGGCGACCGTGTCCGAGACTCCATGATCTGTGCCGGCTTCAGGGACACAGAGGATCCACCGGCTGCTTGCCAGGTACGACCGACATTCACAGGTTTCCTGACTGAATGGCTGCAGGTACAAATGTTGAAGGTTGTGGTGAGAATTAAAATTTCACGTCGACCCTCCTCTTCCTCCAGGGCGACTCTGGTGGTCCTCTGCTGTGCCAGCAGGGGCGCGACCGCTGGGAGGTGCACGGCGTGGTGAGCTTCGGCCCCATCGGCTGCACCGTGGAGAACAAACCCAGCGTGTTCACCCGCACCGCCGCCTACATTCCCTGGATCGAGGCGACGCGCATCAGGGACTTCTTCCTGCACTAAGACAACCACCGGACTCAGCAAACATAAGCTGTGTTTTACGTTCCATGTCGATTAACCCAAAGTCTCACAGCCTCACTTTTCGTTTCATTTCTTACACATCAACCACTTCAAGTTGTAAATAAATGTTCAAGTTGCACAGTTTATATGACTCAACATCTTTTAGCTCCAGTCAACTTTGCACAATAAAAGAGCTTAAAGGCAAATAGTTTGGTGAACATTTCCTTTTTTTAATTTGTTTGGTTTTTTAAACGGTGGGCTCCATGGAGACACATGATCAGCACACACTTCCAGTACAGCTTTACACTGATTTCTTCATGCTCTGTAAAACAGACCCCACTGCAGATACGCTTTAATAAATACCAGAGGAGAACTGAAAATCTCTTTACTCTTCTACAACAGAAGAGTCGTTAGGTCCAACATTCTGAACATGAATCCACTGAAATCCATCGTGTGAAACACACACGAGATGTCACAATTTATTTTAGAGACTAATAAGGCTCGTTCAGCCCACAGGTCATGGGTTCACTCATTTCAACACAAGCATCAGAGAAGACTGAAAAGTCTCCGATAAACAACAATATAACAGATGACGCACCTCTACAACATCCTCACAGGCAGTTCTGGTTACTGATCAGATCAGTGACAGGAAAACCTCAGAGGATTAGAGACAGATGAGGACAGAGGTGTTGTTGGGTGGTCTACATCTGGATCTCCGGGGGAATGTAGTCCACATTTTAATGACGTCTTTTTCAGACACATATTTTTAATTCCCAGAATGCTCCAGGAAAAGGGAAGCGTATGATTGGAGGGCCACCTCACGCTTCACACTGCATTTGACCAGAGTCTAATTCCTCTTAGCGCTGTGGTGAAAGGCTGTGTCCTGGAGAGATGTTTGGCCCTGACGTTGAAGCAGATGTGTTGGAGGAAGGTTAGTACAGCCTGGAGGATGTGGGGGTGCCGGTGATGTGGTCCCAGTTGTTGTAGAGAGCGTAGGCACCAGATAAGGCCAAACCCACCAGGCCTCCACGGGCGACACCCTTTAATCCACCTGTGAACACACAGCAGTGACAGGATGAGCGATAAAGCCTTGGATGAACATGCAACTTTATAGAAAGAGAAAAACATTCCTGGATCTGCCCCAAAATGTATGGTTTCTTTCTCTGCGAGAAAAACGAGATTGAACTCATCTTTGTTTTTTAGGAGGAAGTTGCTAACGTAACCTTTCAATAGGAGAGATGAAGATTTATGAAATCCAGCTGTGTGCTCACATTAAAAACACGTGCAAATAGTTACGGGCTGAAGTCAAAACCAGGCACAGTGCACATTCATTACTGGCAAATATACAAGCAGGAAAAAAACACCTACTTCCTGATTTAAAGAGCATCCCAGTTAACGTCCCCGCAGCCACTGTGTTGATGTCATCTTCTGCTCCTCGTGCTTTTTCTATCGCCACGCCAAACACACTGTACAACAACGCTGAGGAGGAAAAGAGAGATTCACTGCAGCAGAAATAGATCAACTAAAAGTGATTCGATAAAAGAAACTGAAGATTTACAAAAGCCATTAGATTAGTTGATGTTTTCTACATCATTTCTTCTGACTTACCAACAGAACCCAGAGAGTTGGCCCATGAAGCACCCTGCCTGGTCACCATGTTCAGAATCCTGGAGAGAGAAAGCAAACGTGTAGAGGACAGGTTAAAGACATTTCAGGTGAAATAAGAGAGACAAAACTACTAGTGCACCGAACTTTGTCTCCCTACTCACTGAACATTACGAGGTTTGGACCACGCCATCTCTCTGGTCTCTTTCAGCCCCATCCTGAGACCGTTCACAGTTCCGAATGCTGCTCCTGGAGCCAACACAAAGGAAGAAACGCTGAAGGAGGCATTCCAAATTTAAAAAAGGGACAGAAAGCATCCAGCTGTCTCTGTTCCGTTCATATAATAGCGTCATCATTCCCAGTGGGGATGTACTTGTCCATGAATTATACTTCAAGTATAATTTAAAGATTAGTGGAAGGTTACAGGTGTTAAGTTTTACAAACCAGTCATGCAGGAGCCTCCGATGGTGAAGAAAGCCAGTTCAAACCGTCCTCTTGTTTTATTGGCGCCTGTGGGCAGAATGAACTCATCTGTGTCCTGAAACACAACATCAACAGGGTGTTACACATAGAAACAGATAAAATACATAAATTTACCACAAGAAAAACTGCGACAACACAGCTTTGCGTTACCTGGACCAGGAAACGAGGGTCGACATTGAGGTACGGGGACAGAGGGCTCATCCCCGTCACTGAAATCACATTTTAACACATTACTTACACAGGAAAATAAATATATAAAACAAACATTATATAAAAAGAACATTAAAGCCAAAGCAATTTTTTGTTCTGTTTTGAAAGCTGAATCATTTAGTGAACTTCTTTAAATGGTATAAAATGAAGTGTGACTTCATTAACTAATAGAGTTATGTTATTTCTGCTCCTTTTCATTCAAGACTTTTGAGTTTGCATTTCAATAGTTGCATTTGGTCACTGACTGAAATAAAGTGTTATACATGGATTTACAGGCCTGGTATCCTGCACAGATGTTAGCTTCGAAGCTAACTGCAGCTATAGCAGGTCTTCAGGCAGATTACATGACACTTACACGGGACACCGGCGAGCTCTGTGTTGGAGTATTCAGGGGCTCCGCCACTGAAGAGACCCCCGAGGCCTCCCTTCACTCCCCCCGGTCCTTGCGGGTTGTTGTCCATGGTTAAAACGGTGTAAAGCTCCGGGGGTCACCTGGAGAGACCTGGAGAAACCTGGAAGGGGGCTAGCTAGCTCGCTGCCACCGGCCCGGCTAGCTGACGTTAGCTGTGTCGCAACACGGGGAATCCGGGAGGACACGATGAAGAACCCACGGACACGGAGCCGGAGTGTTTTCACAGCGAGTCTGATGAATCCCGCGGGAAGCTCCTGCGTGAAAACACCGATTTAATCTTTCAAAATGACGGAACTCGTGTTTTCATCTCGTCTCTGACCTCCACGCTCCTCTGCTGGGGACTGACGTCAGACTGCGCGCTGCGTCATGACGTCGAAATAAAGCGACCCGGAAGTGCTGTGAAACGAGAATCGAAACCGTCGCTTCAACGTGAGTCGAATGACTCACACACACACACACACACACACACACACACACACAGCCTGGAAACAGCT